ACTAGCATAAATAACATATGTATTAGCGTACTCTTTATTTTTACTTAGCAGACTTCAAAGTAATGAGTTAACTTTCTAATGTCCTTCAACAGTGATAAGCTAGTTTTTCTTTAAGTATTTGTATGAAAAGAAATATTCCATTATAGTTCCTAGCCTTGTTGATGTGCAGTTTACTTCTTTTTTTTATTTTAAGGGTCTACAGGGTGTTCAGGGTCTCATTACTAGATCGGACTCGTGGTGTTCTCCTGTTTACAGCCTCCCAAGAACAGGGACTACAGGCACACACCACCATGCCCAGTCTCAATTTATTTTTTATTTATTTATTTTATTTTTTTGCGGAACCGGGGATTGAACTCAGATCCTTGCGATTGCCAGTCAAGTGCTTATTCTACTGAGCCATTTCCCCGGCCCTTATTTTTTATTTTTTATTTTTTATTTTTTATTTATTTTAGCAGTTTACTTCAGCTTTGGCCACTAGATCTTCAAGCTGACTTTTAGTACAATTCTAAAAACTCTGTTAACTTCACTGTTTGGTATGACAAGATGTTCCATACTCATTTGCCTATTTCCAGTTCAGACTTAGAACCAGCTACTTCTCCAAGAAGTCCTGATCTTTGGCTTTATGGAACTGTCACCACCGTCTGCTTTCTAGGATACAGATATCTGTGTATCCAAATATTTAAACCTTTAACCAACCCAACTATTAATATGCTCAGAAATGTATTGTTCCTATTTTAGCAAGAGGTCTCTAAGTGCCTAAACAAGCTTCAAACTACAAAACTGTTACAAGATATCCTTGTCATATGAAAGCAGCACGTGAAGTGCCACTGGCCCTTGGGAATACATCCCAGGTACTTCCATCAGGGAACACGTGATCTGTCACTTTTGCGAGGTGCTGATGGAGGTTGTGACGAAACTCTTTCATTTAATCAGGAATGTGTAATCAATCTGAATTTTAAACCAAAATGATATGGATGACCTAGGAAAGGGGTATGTCACAGACTCAAGATCGTATGTTTAAGTGTAAGGTTCAATATGAATTGTGAAGATCTGGACCATGCTGTACCCAGACATGACTGTGGCTCTTCAGGGGGCACTCTGGTTATTTTATGGTTACCTTTATGTGTTCATCTGAAACACAAAGTCTTTCTGCTGCTATAGACTTTCAGTTAGGTACTTTTAACTTCTTTTAGCAGTTCTTCTTCTCAGTTTGTGATAGGATGTATAATCTCTATCTAAGAGATCCTGAGTGGAGTCTTTCAACCCAAACAATAGTTATAAAGATCCAGCGATAACTTCTTAACCAGCATGTGACATCTATATTGTAAATCAAAGCTAGGTAACAGGAGGAATCTCAGAGGTTAGGGAGTGCTCTTATTTCTATTTTCTAGTCTACTCCTAAACCAGAGCTCACAGCTGCTATTTTATGATCCTTCATAGGAAATGAACAGTTGTCACATTCTTAGTGTTTACTTAAGCAAAAATTTTAACGGGTCTCACTGATGTGGTTTTCTTGTCAGTGTCCATGGCCTTATGTTTTCAAATGCATTCTTTCTAGTATAACTTGAAAAATCAGGTTTTTGCAAAGTAGGGCCAGATGTAGAGATATCTCCAAGATATGTTTGTAGTCATTTGATCTAAACGTTTTGGTTTCTTTTGGGCGAGATCTGCCACCTAAATATGCAGTGATTGCCATTTGTTAAAATTACTAATTGAATAAAAATATGTAAGCATGACAATCATTCCTGACCACTCATGCTAGAATTTGCTGCAGATGAGAAATTCTGATGTGCTAGAGATAATAAAAAATAGAAAACATGTAGAGATAATAGTAAAGTTACAGGTTCAAGGTCTGTATTCCTACTTTGTCTCAAAACAGATGAAATCCCAGTTATTGTAATGTTCTTCTCAGATAGGGCAAGTCTTGGGGTATTACAGAGGCTCAGAATTTCTGAGGAGCTTGGAGTTGATATTACCACTCCCCAAAGAGAAAAGGGTGGAAGGAGCCCAGCTGTAAAGCCAAATGTGTCAGCAACTGAAGGAAGTTAATTCATGGAAGTGCTGGAAGAGAACAGAAGATAAAGCACAGCATAAACCTAGCAGCTAGCATTTCATTGTTATCATTGTATTTTATGGGGGTACCTGGGCTTCTAGAATGTTCTGAGGATAGCTAACATTTTGAAGGAAAGCAGTCGTAACTCTGGGATGGAGGTACTGTGAAAAGTAATAGAATATAATAATATTTTATTTGATCAATTAATGGGATACCCCTTGATGAAGATTAAATCAATGACTGAAAGGTATGAACTTTGTAAATAGAGTGGTTGCCTCTCATTATACAACTAATGTTGGTTGGACTATGACAGCAACAAGAGATGTTGGATCACAGTGCTTGAGAGTTCGGGCTGAACATCAACTCCTTCATCACTAGCTGGGCTTCCTTGAAAAAATGTGTTAGGGTCTCTGTGCTTTACGTTCCATAAAAATAGAAGTAGTGTCTACCACATGAGGCTGTTGTACTGATTAAAGGAGTTAACACACATAAGGAATTGAGAATCGTATTAATGAAAGAGAAAAAAGATATTCTAAGCCATATCGTTTAGGCATTTCACTAGAAATGTGTAACTGCAACTGTAAGCACATATGTCGCTGTGGTATGATGTTTTCAGTTCTGGAAAAATACGTAGGAAGGGACTAGTGGGGTTGAAGAGGACCTGCAATCCTAGCTTTTTGAGGAATCTCCACATTGATTTCCATAGTGGCTTTTATAGGTAAATTGACACAACTAGAGTTGTGTCGACACACTCATAAGTGAAATAAATCAGAACCCCACGTGTG